ACTTCTTAGACAAAAATCATTTTGATAAATCTATACTAATTGTTAGTAAATATTAATTCTGAGTTTCAGTAGATGCTTTCAAATATTTCAATTTTCGAACAAAGGACATTTATTAATCGCTTCAATTAAATATAAATAATCCCATTCATTTCAAAGTAAAACGTAGCAGATAAGTCCTTCGCCTACTTTCGCAATTTCATACAATAGAGACGCGAAACACTTATAATTACTGTTCGTTCAACAGCTTGCGGATGGAGTTACACAGCATTAGGCACTAAAGCTAATACTATTACTGCTGCCGGCCCGGAATGCCTGAACACAAAAGACGTCGAGTGTATCCACTTTGCGCGGATTTTCATTTCAATGCGGAGATTAACAGACACGGAACAAAATTTTATAAATAAGTAGTCATATGAAAATACAAATCTGTCGTTAAGTTTCACCAGAAAATAGGAGCGTTAAGATGCTTTAAAACATTAAGGATTGCTTCATTTATGGTGGAATTCGAGGCAGATACTTTTATAAGCTATCCGTGCTAATTATATGTATATCAAGTTTTATATAAAACTGCTTGAATATTTTCTTTAGGGGGTTCGTTATGTAAATGTGAACGATGTTAAAAAATTTTCAAAAAGTACTCGAAATATTTAATTTATTCAAAGTATGATAAAAAATGTATTCCTGAAGTCAAATTATGGCAATAAATGGAAAAAAGTGGATTGTCTAACAAGGTTAATATTTTTGCATATGTCAATGTGTTAATTTCTATAGGTCACAATGACACGTATGTACATGAGTAGGAGATCATAGGAAACACAAAAAACAATAGTACAATACACAAACTCGTTGATGGCAATATCAAGATCACTATTTAGTAGAAAATAATAATCAGTGATGGCTCAATCACACTCCAACAATTTAAATAGCAAAAACTTGTCTTTTAATTTTCATTCTTCTGGCAAACCTCTATGGTTCACGCGGTTATTCTATAAAAAGTAAATTTTGTACATAATATTTTGCTCGAACTTCAACAGAAAATAAAGATTTTACTAATAGCTTCAAAAGTATTAGTGAAAGCTAATTTAAATGAGACACTCTCTATATGAGGTAAATTAAAAAGTAAAACAAGTTTTGCTGTCAAATAATTTTCAAAATAATTTCTCAGTTTATAAAAGAGTAGATTTGTAAACAGCTATGGATGTTTTATATACTTATGCTAAAAGTAAGTAAAATTATTAAAGTTAGTTAAAATTATTGCAATTGAAATTTTCTTTATTGCATCTTTATATTTGACGCGTGCGGCGTCGCTTCAAAGTCCCGCGGTTCGACCCTCAATGTTTGACCGATTGCGTCTTTCCTGTTTTTGCTGATTGTATTTATTTTCTATCCCTATCTACTGGGATCACGGTACACGGAGCTCGAAGCAGTGGGTAGTGGGGGAAAAGTAGGAATAGTGCAGTGGAATTTAACCGAGAAAATTTTGTGGAATTTAAGCTAGCATCACTGTACCACCTCTCGATAAGCCGTAACTATCGCCATCAATGTCCAAAAATCGCAACGGGAAGGTAATAATCCTTCGTACTTGTAAGATCGAGTCGCCAGATTTTCGGTTCGATATTTTCTTAAAGTAACAATCAACGTGTCGGGTCTCGGTAGAACGTGCTCGGGTTTCCGCTTACGTGGACGCACTTAATTTGACCTTTTTACTATCCGCCCGTCTTGTCCGCGGTAAAAGCCAGCGGCGGGAATCGGGAGTGAACTTTTCAATCTCGTGGTGGATTCTTGGCTTCCAATCTGCTCCCAATATCACGGGGTATTCGTCGGGCTTTTGAGTTCCGGGGAGTGAATTCCAAAGCCCCTCGATTTCGGTGCGTCGAGTTTATCGAGCGGATAGAGAATCTCTTCCGTGGACGTCCCATATGTGCTCGCTGTGAGAACATACATATGTGTGTGTGCATGAGTGCGCAGGATGTACACGATAGAACTATACCGGAGAATCTTATCGGAAATTATTGACAGACGAAAATTTCATGGCGAAACTTCTATCCGGCCGACCCTCTCGCTAACTCAGCGCCGTTATAAATTCATTTATACTTCACTCGGAATATCGAAGAAGGGGTAGAACGTCTATCCGCGATAGTGGATTGTCACAGTGAAATATGAGACTGGATACACAAGAAGAGTTGAATTTGTTTCCTTTTAAATGACCGTAAATGGTGGACGATTGCATAACACGTTCGATATCAACGTCACATATTTGTGATGCTCATAGTTCTTAGACATTCTTTTTATTTGTACCCGCATGAAAGATATACTGTGGAACTCAGTTTATACGGATCATGTTAGTCCTGATTTCCGGTTTATTCGGATTATGAAGGTAAACACTTGCTTCACTTATTGTTCTACTAATTAATTAACGTACTTGATCTACGTTTATACTGTATAATGTGTTGTATACAGCTAAAATTCTTTCATATAATATGACTGATTTTAGAAATATATAATAAAACTTTTATCTTTTACAAGGTTTATAGTCAAATGAATTTACCTCCTTTTTACTTCGATAATGTAAATTTCACTATGCATTTGCATCGTGCATTGTACTTTCTAAATAGTTTCAACAAGTTTCTGGATAATATTCAAATCAAGATTTCCCTCAAAATAATATAATTTTTCTTGAATGCTATTTGAATAAAATTTTGGCGTTAGTGTTAAGCATATCGTAAATAAAGCAAATAGAAAAGCAAAAGTGGTCACAGTATACTTAAAATTTACCAATAAAAATATAAAATTCCCACTTTATCCGTTTAAAAGATTAAAAGTGTGAAATCTGAAGACAGCACACATAAAAGTCTCTGAAGCAGACTTTGGTTTCTACGAAATTGAATATTTTTATACTTCGCGAAGTAAACTTTCGTTATATATGTGTAATAGTAACGGGAAGTAAGAAAATATGGAGATGGTTATTGGTCGCAAAGTGCGTCTGACTATAAAAGCAATCCACTGTAACGTTCCGTTCCCCTTTTCCTTACAGTCGATTACTCCACACTCGAGCTTCAGTAGTTACGACTCAATCATAGTGCAGCATAACTTTAAGTTTTTATACGCATGCACTGTTTCCAAGGTTATTTTGCATAAAGCATATGCAATTCAACGAAACTTTTCATGCAATGTATACACCCACCAATATTCTCATTTATTACCGTCATTCTACTCAATCCTCCTTTCATCTATTTATTCCTTTTCTTTCATTTCCTTATAAAGTCATTGAAATTTCCCTTTTTATACTATACAAAAGGCTCCGTCATACAAAGAATTGCCAAAGGAACAATAATGTATAGATATTAAGAATAAATTCATGGTTCACGAATACTGAATCTGGTTTAATATCCAGAAGATTTGAAGAATAAAAGAGTTGGACGTAAACCATGAAAATAAATTGTTTAAAAGAAATATATAATATAAACATCCAGGCAAAAATTACGAGACACAGTCATGTTAATGAGATTAATTTCTAAATACTGCTACTAAAGGAGTGAAATAATAAGAATGAGGGGAATCGTGACAAACATGGTGAATTAGAAAGAACTCGGTAGTGCATCTAAATTAAACGTAGCAGAGAATATAGTATAGCTGGCTGGGAAAACAGTATAGTAAAAGCTAAAACATGATTGACTAAGCTTCCTTCACGTTAAAAAATTATTTATGTGTTGTATTAATAACCTTCGTCAGATAGAAAATATTATAATGTCTAAACTGCAAAATTTGTACATTTATAATAAATATGAATCTACAAACGGTATTGAAACGAAAATTTTAGTGTAAAATTAATACAATTATCGCTTCAGTTTTGGTATAAAATTATATAATAATATATTGAAATTACATGTAGTTTAATTTATTTATTTTAATTTCTAATATAATTTTTCACCTTACTTTTTTCCTTCAGAAATTAGTATAATTATTAAATTATATATGTAACTAATGTAATATAACGGAGGAATGAAAATATATTCATCTCTCGAAAATTTATTTATAATTAATTATTTTAAATTATTCATTAACATTATTATTATGGAATTTAATTACTACCTACGCAAGATTACGAAGCTGAATAAACGTGTGTTTATTTATTATAAATTATGTTTAATTATATAATCCAATTAGACGTGTTTTATTATAATATGCATACTTTATATATTCGAAAATGTTCCTTTAAGTTATTCATGAACTAATTTTTTCGTAATTATATCAAAATTTGCAGGAATATGTCGCCAAGCAACGAGATTAGAAATTGAATTTTACGAGTCTGATACCAGCTTAATTTTTGAAAATGGCTGGCGTTAAGAAGCTTACCCGTCGAATACGTGGAACATGGAACTCGACACGGAGAGAAGGTGAACGTTGTAACTCTTATTGGCGGAAGAGACACGTGGTTCTAATTAACTTCGTGTCGTCTCCAGGGATTTAATCCTGTGGAAAACCGTTCCACCGACCGAGCAGTAGAAAATGTTAGGACTCTGCATCTTTCGTAATGTCGGGAACCGCTCGTGAGCAAAATTGAAGGTGCACGAACTGAAGTGCCTCTGAAAATACGTGAACTCTCCTCGGCGTCGCAAAATTTTTCCGCGTTCCTTATAAAAAATACCAATTCTTATCCACCGTCTTTGCATTTCTTATTCTGTACCGTATTAAACCCACTTGTATCCGAACGCTCCTATAATTCAGACTCTAATAATAAAATAGAATATAATAATGAAACAGGACTAATTAATAATTTACAAAGCAACAATGGAAAGTCATTAATTTACAGTATTCTAACGAAGAATATATAATGCTTCAATGGAATGTTATTAGTTTATAGTGTACTAATTAAAAATTCACAATGGAACAGTGAAAAGTTTATCCTACTCGTAAACTAAAATTAATAATAATTTACAGTATTGTCATCAATATTATTTAAATAATTTTGAGTGTGATCTTTTGTATTTTCCACTTACTTATGTTTTTTTCTCTATACTGTGGCCACGCGTCACCGATTAAGCAGGTAAGAACTAGCCACAATGAAAAGTAACACCTTCCCATCTTGACCTGGAAACAAAAATAAAAATTCAATAGAGTACATTATATGAATGGAAAATGTGTGTCGTTTTTGTATATGCATAACGTTACTGAAGTAAGAATGAGCAGCAATTAAAAAGCTAGCACTTATACTACTTTCCATATGAAAAAGCACTGTTTAACTGATCAAAGTACATAACAAGATGACGAAATTGTTATTACGTGAAATATACAGAAATTGATCTGTTCAAATTATATCACGTAAAAAATTGCTTCAATTTCACAATTACGTTTCCAGCCGTAAGGAACAATTATATTCATTCATCGTTAAAACGGGGGGATCCGAGTCAAGCTATTTCTATAGTCTCAGCATTTAGAAAAAGCAACCATTTGACAACGAGTGGACGTAAAAACCACTTTCATAACTTCAGTTCTCATTCACCTCGTTCCCAGTTTCCTCTGTGCATTGTGTTGAAGCAGTTTTGAACATTTTTTCC